ATTGCTTGGGGATTAAATGGTTAAAACTTCGTAATGCACACAGGATGGTATGTTTCTTATATAAGTGCCCATTAAATAATCAACAAGTGATTAAGAAGATGAGTAAACACTGTTGCAAAGGGAAACTTTTCTAAAGTGTAGGCTGGAGACCCAGGAACAGTATCCTCAAAGTACTGCATTGTAGATAGAAAAGGAGGGGCCTGCCAGGGTGAGGGGTGTCCCTGGAGATAGGGGTCTGAGTGTTTCTTGATGAGGCTAGTCATGAGGGTCAACTGGGGAGAGAGAGACGAGCTGATAGAAAGACCCGAGGGTCAGTTGGCCCTGGCAGAAATTCCTCTCTCGGTCCTCGCAGAAGCCGGCAAGGTGAGCTCGTTTGTTGATGAGGAAATGGAGGATGAATGAGGCAGCACCAGGCAGCACCTTCCTCTTGCCACCCACAGTGGGGCCAGCGGGTTGTACCCTGAGCCGTCAAGTTCCAGAGCCTAGGATCCTTTCTCAACGACTCCTAGAGGAGTTAGCCAAGGATTTACCAAGACTTCTGAACTGCGTTCTCAGTCCTTTTTGAGATGGACAGTCTGGGGCTTAGCCCTTGTCCAGGATGCCTTCTCAAGCGTCACCTGTAAGTGCAGAGCTTTGCTTTCCCCCATTTGGTTTTTAGGTGAACAGGCCCAGTCACTTCAGTCTCTCCAAAGGACTGGTTTGCTTCAAGGCTTCTGAATTTGGCTGTCAGCCATTTTGAATTGATTCTTGTCTTCCACTCAGAGCAGTGGGTTGTTAAAGGAGAAAAGAATGGAAAGGTGCCCAGTAGAAAAACTAGGACTGTGTGATGTCCTCTGATAGGGATGGGGACACAGTGACCCGTCCCCAGAGTCCCAGGTGCCAACCGTGTCGCCTCATCCTTGAAGAGCCAGGAGTATCTCTGGTGTGGAGAAGGTTAACAGTGAGAATCTGGAGCTCTTTGCTTAGAGAGAATAAATAGCAGGGAGCAAGTATTTGGAAGAATGAATTTTGGATCATATGAGAAAAAGCCTCAACTACAAAACCTTCTCATATATCCATCCAGTTTTTGCTGTTTTGTCTCATCAGCAATGATATTATCTCTGACTGAACTAAAGTGAGAACCTCTGCCAGGGTCATAAACCCTTGCTGGGGTACACATTAGTCATGCTTTCATGTCGTGTTAATGTTTAGCCGTACTGAGAATTTTAAAGGGAATAAAGACCCCACAAAAAAAAAGACTGACTTAACTTTTTTTTTTTTTCTGGGAAATTGGTGTTCAAAAGCTTAATGTCCATGGTGCAGTGGGTTTAATGTTTTCCTACATTTTTGTCACAGACTCATTGGATGGGTTAAAGCTGTCTGCTCCCCTCTGCCACTCTGTTCCTCTTCCAATGTACCTTCTCACAAAGAACAGTGCCATCAGTGGTGTGGGGTCAGCAGCATATAAAATTGGGGCGCTTCTTCAGGCGAGGCACAGAATAATGGCTATTGAGAATGAGAAAAGGGCCCTCCCTGGTGGCGCAATGCGTTAAAGTGCAGCATTGAAAGCTCCCTGCAGCCGCCTCTGTGCAAGTTCAATCCCCAGCCCCGGAGGTGACCCACATGGCACTGCAGACCTTTATTGTCTCCCCTCTCACCCGCTGCTCCCCTCAGCAGTGTACTTCATCGATGTGCCTGTCTGCTCCCCACTCCGTCTCTGGTGAATCCTCTCACTGCCCTGCACCTGCCTGTACCCCAACCTGTGTGCATAAATAAATAAATCTTAAAAAAAAAAAAAAGAAAGAAAGAATGAGAAAAGAAGCTGGCTAGAAGAGGACCTGTGCAGAAGAAGGGCACTGAAACTTGGGTTAGTTTCATGCTAAGTCAGGCCTGGAGTCACAGAGATCCTTTTCTACAACAGAGGTGTCTCTAACTTTTGATCTTCTCTACTCAGTCTCTAACTCACTGCCCTCACTGCCTGCCATCCTGCTGGCTGCAGACTTCCCAGACAAATCCCACTTCACCCTCTTGTATTTTCCTCATTCCTCTTCTTTAGGCTCCATCACAGCTGTGATTGAAATATTTGGGCATTATTTGATTGTCTATGCTGAAAAATCCAGGAGACCTGTAACGTGTCTGTTGTTTTCTGCTTGTGAATATAGTTCCAGGGCTTAGCTAAGTGCCTGCTCAGTAGTCAGAATTCAGATGTTGAGTGAATAAACGCATTTGGTAAGAAGTAAATAAAGATGCTTGTAAGAACACATTGTGGGTTTTAAACTAATCAAGTTTTCCACCTGCTACACCTTAAAGGAATCCACAAAAGAAAAAAGGGAAAAGGGGAGCGAGGAAGACACGGGAGTCAGAGTTGGGTGCAAGTTTTAAAAAACACATTTTTTGATACAAGGAAAAATCCCATGGGAAAAGTCAGGTTGAGTTGTGTTTATGCTGAGGCTTGTTAACAGCAGCATCTCAAGAAAATGTCTGGTCTCTAGATTAAACCCTGGGGTTTGTGGACCTGAAGATGAGGCATGCAGAGGTCAAGTGAGAGAACTAGGCCAGCCGGGATGAGCAAGATCAGTTGCAGCTAAACTAGGGCTGATT